AAACAAAAACATCATAAATGGCTGCTTAGAATTTGCTTCCATTTTCTGACCCTGGAGTCACAGATTCAAGCTTTTCTCCAAAACCAGGAAGTCTAGAAACTCACTAAAAACATGAAAACAAAAAAGTTGAGACTCGCCTGGTTCTCCTCCACTTCTAGCAGCTAAAACTTTATAAAAAACACCAAACAACAGAAAACTGGTGTAATTTGCTGCAAGAGTCCCTGAAACCTATAGATCTCAGTCAAAAACCTACGCCCAAGCATCATCAAAAGGCCTTAGGGAAACGACTCACGTATAAGGTAACTAAAAGCCCCTATCTTGAGAACCCACTGGTAATAATTTGTCATTCTAGTCTAGCATATGGGTAATTGGATTTGAGTCCCAAAGCCACACCTTTCTGCTCTTGGGATCAGAAATATCCAGAACCTTTGGTCTAAAGGGTATGAACATTGTTTACCATGATCTTTTTAGATGCCCTGTAATGTATGAGGATAGTGGGGCATATTATAGAAAAGTTTTATGTGCCTGGGAACGTGTGAGCTTGCATTCCTCATGAACGGTGAGTGGGAGTGATGTATGCAGATCATCTTAAATTCATGCCACTGAAACATTTATATTGCACAAGAAATATCACATTTTCAGTATATGCCACATATTCTTCCAGGGACACTATTTTAGTGCTCTCTTAGACTTCTAAATGTTTTATTGCCACTATTTTTCATTACCTTCACCTGGTCAGATTCCAATATAAAGACCTCAGGGGGGACCTTTACAAGCAGGAAGCAGTTTTTGGAGTCTCCCCCATCCAACAGAGTAAAAACATCATATATAGCCCACCTTAAAAACAGCTACTGATTCAGGACTAAATACTGCCCTGTGTTTTCGGACAATGTAATTTCTGGCAGGAGAGAAGAAACATGGGAAGGAATTTTTTTTTTGGCAAACTGTTCTTTTTATTAGTTGGGAACTGTTGAAAGCCGTTCAGGTGTTGGGAAATGTGGAAGCCACGGGAAGCAGAGACGGATTGACGGGCAGAGTGCAGGTGATGCTGTCAGAGGTACACGATGAATGCAATTAGTCACATGGCTTTGGCATTTATCACATCAGATAGGCAATTCATCTCGGTTAGAGTGACTGCCCAAGGATATAAGTTAATCAGGATGACATTCAGAATACTTCCATAAAGGCGGTCTCAGAAGGACTGATTTCTTTCTACTTAAGTCTCTCCAACCAATTCTGTGTCTCAATAGATTCATATATCAAAAACTAATGAGAATTTGAGAAACTCAGATGACGAATAGGTCTGGACCACAGTCTCTTGCATTATTGCCAAGAAAACACTATGCCAATTGTTTGCTCATTTCTAAAGATGGAAAAGTAACACTTTTTTTTAACAAGCTAAAGAATAATGTTAAGAAACAGGGGGCTGAAATTAATAATCATGGTTATCGTTAGCTATTTGTAAATGATTTATGCCATGATGTAAAGTGTGAAGGGTATGGAAGACACGTTTAACGTGCTAAAAACACAGCATAGTCCCGGCTCTGAGGAGCTCACAGGCTAAAGAAGTGAATGGCCTCAGTAAAATGCAAGGCAATGCAAACAAGAGTGGTATCGTTAAGCACAGAAGGCTGTGATGGCATTATAACTAGAATGCTTCCTGCAAAATATAGCAGCTATGAAGCTCAGATGACCAAATACATTACTGCTGCCACTAGGATTTTTTTTTCCTTGACATCTCCTGGAAGTTAAGAGCTGGGTCTGAACTTCTTCCACCGCTCAGTTAAAAATGCCCATGGTCTCCAGTGGAATTTTACCAGATAAGCCCCAAGTGCCGACTCTAAAATTGGACCCTAATGTTTATTTTCTGTTGGACTGAAAGCCAAGTAAGTACACAACAGTATGCTAAATATGAGTTTATACTTATGGTCATAAATGAACATTGCCGTATGTATCTAAGGTGGAATGGAGATTGCACAGCTGTTAGAGCAGCAGACTCCTGGCTGTCCTTCCAGTCGGACACCGTGGGACTTTGGGTGTTCTCACTGTGATTGGGGGCCGCGTTTCAGAGGCTACAGAGCCTGCACGTTTCTTGAACGGATGGCCACTAAAGTAAGGTAGGTAGAAGCAATTATGGGCAAAGGTTTTAAACGCTGCTGGAGAGAAAGATGGCAAAGGAATCCAATTTCTTTCATTTTTAAAGCGATCCGCTATTTGTTTTACAACCCTGCTGAAAAACAGCAGTTGTATTAATTAATTCCCTACTTGACAATACAGCCCAAGGTCCAAGTGATGCCAAGTCATGAGTCATTTGCATTAAGGTCAACCTATTTTTAAACAAACAGGCAAACCCAGATCCAAGCAGGTGCTTAGACTCTATTGTTTTGCCCTTTTGCCCATTTTGCCCTTTGCACCAGTTCACTCTTAAGCCTTCTTAAGTGCTGCCTTGACGGGGTTCCCTGTGTCTGGCAAATGAACACTGAAGCCAAACCAATTTCCTTAGTATACTTTCCTGGCACAAAGTACGCTGGTGGGTCCATGTACCTCACACCAGTGCTTTTAAGCTATGCAAACCTGCTAGAATTATGATGTAGGCAAAGACAGGGCATGAAGTTCAGTCTACCCACACAAAATCAAAATATTTGGGCTCTATGGGTGTACCTACACTTGTGCTTTACTGCAGAGTTGACTACTTAGCTCCGAAGTAAAATGTCACTGCCTATGTGTGTGCCCATATTAGGATGCAGTAAATTAACTCTGGCGTAAGTAGTATTGTCCAGAACAAGAATTATCCTAAGGTGGAATAATTTATGCCACTGCAACGCACGTGTAGAAGGTGACTGGGGCATAAGGCTGCTACAGTGAGGGGGCTGCCTGCTGACTGTAGCACCCTCATGCTTCAGCCAGCCACCCCACTGCCTAATGCCAGCACCTGGAGCCCAGGCCTGACCCCTCCAACCCTGTTGCCAGCCTGGCTTGAATTGGTGCAACCCCAGGCACACGCGTAAATGTTGCGCCTGGGAGCAGCTGACTCTGGTGTAAACTGCACCGGAGTTTATTGCATTGGGGTAACTGCATGTGTAGATGCACCCTATATGAAGGAAGTGCCAAGAAGTGAAGGCTTCCCCTATGTTTCATTACTAAGCATTCCCCCCGGCTCCTGGGGTCTCTATGGACTGAAATAATATCTACAGCCCCTATGTCCAAAGGCTATTTAGAGTCTCCAGATATCCATAAATGTGAATTTATGCCCCAACCTTTCATCTGCTGTCACTGGACTTCTCTGTGTCCCTGCCACAGGGGCTTGCACAGACTATTTCTGCTGGTGTAGGGCTGGCATGGGCACCCCAGAGCAGCTACTCCATTCCTTTGCATAGATCCTAGATTGGGCTTTAGTGATACAGACATCCCAGGCTGAATGTTACCTTGAGCAAGATTCATCACATTGCAGTGAAATTCCAGTTTGGTAGCTGGTCCTAGAACCCAGTTACCAAAGTATGTCAGAGAAGAACAGTAATCACCAGAGGAAGTTTAGATGACATGTTGCTTCAAATACAGGTAGCTTCCCAGAGTCTTCTCCTTACTAGCATTGCCGCCTCCTATCTGAGAAGCTGAACTGGGGTTAGCCACAATGGGAAACGTTTATGAAACAATGCCTTGTGCCGAGAAAACCACATTTCCCATTGTGGCTAACCCCAGTTCAGCTTCTCAGACAGGAGGTGGCAATGCTAGTAAGGACAAGGTAGATATGGCTCTTGTGTCCAATGCAGGACCAACTCCTCTTCTCAGTTAACACTGTGGCCACGTGGTCCTGCACTGAACACAAGAGCCATATCTATAAATTATGGGCCTGATTCAGTAGTGTTTAAGCACACGCTTAACTTGGCACAAAGGAGTGCTTGAAGTCAACAAGAGACCAGGTGGGCTTAAAGTTAGAGATGCTTGTTAATACATCACAGAATCAGGACCTTTATGGGCATCCTTTTCTGTCCTTTTCTGCCAACCAGTGAAAGCCCTGGCCGAGATTTAATATATATAAACGAGGCATGAAGTGCAAATCTGACTACCTCCAACATCAGCCTTCTGTTTATTCAGGCTCCCAGACTCTGCTGAAGTTTTTCCTAAACAACTTGTTTGTAGCATGTAATTCAGCTAACACGGGGAAAGCCTTCAACTTCTCGGAGCGTATTTGTGGATCAAGCGTGCCGTTGCAAACAGATGCTACAGTGCATGAAAACAATGATTCTCACTAATTCCACCTCCCTCGGAAGAAAGCCTATCTTTAAAAGTCACTCGTCACAGAATGGCCTTTGGTCTACAGAAAAATGCAAAGCATGCTTTAATTACCTCCCCAGTGGCCTCTCATTTGATGTCTTGTCCGCCGTATCTCTGTCGAGACGGCCTTATCTCTGAATGTTTTTCACTTACACTAAACAGCACTTATTCAGGTCTCCACCAAGTCACTGAAAACCACGCATGTATGTGCTTGTGACCATTACAGTTCATTTGGAAAATGAAAATCAGCTTTGTTAAACAGCTTTTTTTTCCCCTCTGGCAACACTCAATAATCATGGCATTAATTAATGCTACATTAAAAGGGGATTCCTCAGGGACCACGCATTACATTGCAGGCATGTGTATACCTAACCAATTCATCCAAACCAATGGTCTTACTAAAAGCTTTCAAACCTAGTATGACTGGCTCCTTATTGCACTAGCGTCCTATTTTAACTACAAATTTACTGTTGTTACATCTGTTATAGATAGTATCCCACTTTGTTACTGTTCCATAATATGCACCAAAGTGTTTTTAAACACATCTTGTTTCCCCTCAACTGCAGCTATGACATACGCCTCCAAATCAACCAGATCAGGAACCTGCACTTGTCCCACGCAATGGAAGCGTTCTCTTGTGTCCTCTGAGTTTTCTGTTTGTACAGAGTGGGTCAGTCTGCATTGCACCATAATGCAATAGAGAAAGTGTGTTCTGCGCATCTTACCTCTTTGGTGTGGGTATGGAAGGAGACAGACATGTCCAAGAGAAGTTTCCTTTGTTCCACTCTCCGGACAAAGTCCTGAATCCGCACTTCCAGATGCCGGGCTGCTTTGTAGATCTCTTCAGGATCACATTCCCCAGTCTGAGCCAACTGCTCTGCAGCCTCTAAGAGCTTGTCTGCATTGGTGTACGTGTTCTACCAGAAAAAGAAAGCAAGGAACAATATATCAGCAACAAACCTGTGGCAAGCAACCTGCTGCAACAAGCTGTTTATACATTTGAAGGCACACAAGCAATTGCTTACCAGAGTTATAAAGCAATGGTAATAATTCCTAGTGGTGCTGCCATCTGGGAGAGAAGCTAGTATAAACCCACACGGACTAATCCTTGAATAGGCATGAAATAGTTTCTCATTTGAAACACAAACCACTCCAGTGCAAGCCTGCCTGGCAGATTAATAAGACTGTGCGCTTGGGTTTTTTTCCCCCCTAAAATGTCTGGAATTTCTCAAAGATACTGTAATGAAGCAACTGGAGCTAACTGCTCGGAGGCAAAAGTTGTCTTATATGACAACGGGCAGCAAACTAGTTTCAAAGGGCTGTTAGTGGCTATTGTATTGCAGCATGTCATTGGAATAATCAGAAATGTCTCAATCACAAGACGTGTTTGCCTTCCAGTAACTTTCTTGTGGGACAACTCCAAGAGTGAAAGTTTGCTTTGAGTTGTTTCTGTGCTTTCCTCTTACTTGTTGCTCTGCGCAAAAGGCAGAGTCAGTCCTACTATGGGCTGGTGAAAGGAACTCATCCAACCTTGTAAAATACTCCGATTGCAACTGAATATCACCATCCCCAGTCCATCTGAAGACAGCCCCCATGTACAGTATCACCTGAGCACCTCACAATCTTGTCTGTAATTATCCTCACAATCACTTCCTTTAAGCTAGGTTGGTAGCCTTATCCCCATTTTAGAGCTGGGGAACTAAAGCACAGAGGAGTTAAGCAACTTGTCCAGAGTCACACAGGCAATTAGTGGTGGAGAGGGGACTGGAAAAAAAATCCTTCCATTTGTTATGAACATCTCTGAATTTTAAAAAACAAAGAAAGAAAAAAATCTAATTCATCATTTATTCTATTTCGGCCAGTTAACTACAAACACACTTTTTGCACTCCTCCTTTTGCACAACAAAACTAGTTTAGTCCATGATGTTAATCACAATACATTCTCAGGCCATATCACTTTCAGATTCTTATGCAGTAACACACGGTTGTGATGCTGACATTAAGGCAAACACCAGCATATACATCTTTTCCATATATTTCTTTATTTCCTGGAAATTGTTCTACCTGCCTGAGAATTTGTAAATGCTTAATTTAATAACTTTTTAAATCAGGGGCCAAATTACACTTAGAAACATCCCTTCAACCTGAAATGCAATCTGACAAATGATTATAGACTAGGGGTGGGCAAAATGCGGCCCAGGGGCTGGATGCGGCTCCCCAAGCCATTCTATCCGGCCCATGAGGCCCCTAAAAATTTTAGAAAATTAATATTTATCTGCCCTTGGCTGCCTATCATGCGGCCCTTGATGGATTGCCAAAACTCAGTAAGCAGCCCTCCGTCCAAAATAATTGCCCGCCCCTGTTATAAGCTGAATGGCTGCTCCATTTGCAGACATTATTGTCAGTCATTTACTTTCACTGTAATGGAGTAAATGAGAGTGCATGTTTTTGTGTTTTCATTTCTTTATTTTTCATTCTAATTTCTAGTACATTCAAAGAAGTCCTCTTAGGTCACAGCACTTACTATACACATCAGTGCAATGTTTGAGACAAAGTTTAATATTACTGTATTGGCCATCAATGTAGTGATATTTAAGTTCCACTAACTAACAAGGGTTTTAGTACGAGTTATGGTTAATTATGTTCAGACTGAATTTAGTTCACTGAGATGACAATTAGGTAGCCATGAGCTCTACTATAGGGAGAATTTAAATGTTTTAAGATTTAGATAATGGGGGCAAACTGCAAGGACTGAACTCAGTTGTAGTCCCAGGAACTAGGGGTGCGTGAAGCTCTGGTCGACGATTCGATCTGGAGAAGATTCGGCCCAATTCGGAGGCCAAATCACCGAATCTGAATTGAATCAGGAGACCAAAAAAACACCTCTGAATTGATTCCGAAAAGATTCAGAGATTTGGCGAGTCGGAAGGCAGTCTTGCAGAGAAACAGAAACTAGGAGGGAGGAGGAGCAGGTGGGGAAAGACTGACATCTGTAGCTGGCCAGTGACTATGATTTTTCCCTGAGTACACTTCCAATCACAGTGCTCTGGGGGAGGGACATAGAAACAGCATATAAGCCTTTGTCTGCAGCCTTTCTGTCCCTTTTGTGAGCTGCTTCTGCCTGAGCACCGGGGAGGCCCCCTGTTACAGGCTACCACCCCTGCTGTTTTCATCCAAATCTGCCAAAAAATGACAAAGTTATAGGTATTTCAGTGAGTCCACATTATAGTCTATGGCCGAATCACTGAATCTCTCTGAATCAGCGCCAAATCTTCTGAAGCTGATTCGGCTGAATTGATTTGGAACAGCGATCCGAATCTCCAAATCGAATCACTGGCCTCTGAATCGTCCGGATCCAAATCAAATACTTCCCTATTCGCACAGGCCTACCAGAAACCCCATTTCACCCTGATTGGGAGGGATGGTGAAGTGATTGAGCTAACGTTCTGCATTCCTTCTGTAACACAATTTACAGAGGCATGAATGGTTCTGTATGGGATGAAGTGGCCCATGATGCTACAGAGGCAGCTAATACCATATCTGCTAGCAAGCTGTCCGGATATGGATGGAAGTTCACGCTCATCTTCCTGCAGGGTGAACCAGTAAGCTCATTGCCCTCGTGTGTTGTGCCAGGGGACTTCAGGAGGACAGAAGATTTTGGTGTTCCCATGGAGGAAGTCTGATTATGAACCACCTCCCGTATTTTGGGGTGTTTACCTAAAGGACACATAATGAGATGCTGACCTGGAGTCTATGACAGTACTCTATAGCGCATGATTTGTTTTGTCACATGCCCTCCCATATGCCCCTCAGCTCCTCTTCGGAGCCTTAAAGTTCCTTAGAGTAGAGCCCTTAAATAACTTGAAGCTCCTCCTACTGGTTTGGTGTTGAGAGTCAGATTAACCGTCTCATGGGAAAAAACAACGCAAAACATACGATGGACCCACTCAGGGAGATTTCCTTGAATATTGTTACTGTCCCAGGTTAGAAGTAAAGTTCAGGCCCCAAGCCCTCCTGGTGTTCAAGAACCAGGAAAGTCCTATAGTGTCTACTTAGAAGCACAGGACCTGGCTTCCCTGTACATGTTCCAAGATTTCAAACCTTCCCTTCAAGTTAGACTCAAGAGCAGAAAGGAAATCATGCAAGAGGTAATGTAGCCTGGAGATAAAATTACTGCAATTGGAAAGGAAGAGACAACAGACATCTCATTCTCCTTTCTGCTGGCCTAGTATAGGTCCTCGGCCCTATGAAAAGTTCTCTGTAGTGTCCTGAGAAGCAGTGGGAGGATGATGAAATGGAGACAACTAATCCCTTTCCTGCAGGGGAGATACAAGCACAGATGGTCTCTTCCATATGTGAATATTGGGGAGATAGTACACTGTTAAACAGCAGTAATAGTTTTACTGATTATTAATCTTCTGTTTGATCATTATTTGGCCCTTGAAAGTTATTCTTATTGGTGAAAGATAGTTTTTCTACCATTTCATTAACCCCAAAGAGAACAAATGGTAATGTGAAAACCCTTGAAATTCTGTCCCACTGATCTGCTAACCAGCAATATACAGTGCTTAGGCACCATTTCAAGCACAAAACCAATTTTCATCTCAAATCTCTTAATAACCTTTCTGTACTAATCTTTGCATAATCACCTGCTGAAACCCATGAAATCTGCAATCACAGAAAATGAAAACACACTTCAGGCTTCAGGATGGAAATGTCTCTAATTTATGCTTCTGGAATTCATTTAACAGAGTGTGTGGGGGGTGTTATTTGTGTATTTTTTTCCTACTTACAAGAAACGGCAAATGTGATTATAAAAAAGGATCACAGTTAAGAAAATCTACCCCACAATTCACAATCAGACGTGCTTGTTATCTGACTCTATTGCCATATCAGGTAACAGGATTCACTTAACTTTCATAAATTATTAAGGATTTGATATCCTATAGAAGGTGATTAAGAGGCTGCCTATGGAAAAAATGACTCAATGTTTCAAATTCAGCCATTACATACAGTCAAAGATACAGCTCACAGAGCCCTCTTATCCACCCCCCAGGACTTATAGTTGACCCACGTGGCATGTCCTGGACCAGCCCTGCATGGAGGGCCCAGGATGCATGCTGCACGTGGTACTTGTTCCCGCCAGTTGGGAACCGCGCCACATTGGTGCCCACTCTTCAGTCTGGGACCCAAGCTGCAGGTGCTACCCGCTCAGGCCGGTCCAGGATGTGAGCTGTACAGGGCCTGCTCTGGGATGTGAGCTGCGCACAGTGCCCGCTCCGGCAGGTCTGCGGTACAAATGCACGGTGGTCAGTTCTGGATGCGAGGTGTATGTAGCATGGGTCTTGGACCCGCTGGAGCAGGTGCTGCCTGCAGCTCAGACCCCAGACCACAGAGTGGGGATTGATGCAGCACAGTCTCCAGCTGGCTGGCGCAGGCACCATGTGTGATGTGCATCTTGGGCCCTGTGTGTGGGCCTGATTCAGCATATGCTGCATGGTCCTACACCACTCATTCAGCTCATGGGGCCAAACAGGTTGGATTCCCCGACCTTAAAATCTAAGTGTGCAATGTCCTTCACTGATCTGCAGGGCACACCTCAGATCTGAGATTCTGTGGCACTTCCCTTTGCAGGCCCAGAGACACCACTTTGATAAAATCAAATATCCAGATATTCCAGCAGGATGAGGGTAGGGACAAACATAGTCTGCCGCGGCTTCAGAAGTGGAGAGGGGGTAGCTGTACTGGAGCACACACAGCAGCTGTTACTCTGTAAATGTTACATATGTGTAAGCCTGCATACAAGAAAGCTAAATCACCGCAACCTTGACCCCGGATGAAGCAGGGTTAACATTGGAGTGGTTTTGCTACAGCTGAATTGCTATAGCAATGATTCTCAACCTTGGTACCTTGTTGC